GAGGTCCTGGGTTCAATCCCCAGTGACTCCATTAAAAAATAATTTAAAAGATAAATAAATAAACCTAAGTAACACCCCCCCAAAAAAATTTGCTTTAAAAAGTATTGCACAAAAAAAAGTGAAGGAACAGATGAAAACACAATAAAACCAGTAACTGCTAAAGCAGGACAAAGGTGGGTAGTTCACTGTACAATTCATTATACTTTGGCTCCGTCTGGAAATCTCCCTAGCTAAAGTGGTTTTTAAAAGACAGGAGGAACTCTGTGGGGGAGACAGATGCTGTCTCTCTAGATTGCAGGCTCTTAGGAACTGTGCTCAAGAGTCTACAAGGGAGGGGCGTCAACCTCACCGGGGCCTGCACAGGAATGAGAATCTGGGGGAATCTCTGGAAGGAGCATGTCCTGCAAGGGAAGGAACAGGGACGGTCTGTAGCCAGAGGACAGACCGTGGTGGTTTTCAAACATGCCCACACTCCCCTCTTCAAAAGATGGACACTAATCCTCTCCTCCTGCCTAGGCCGGGCCCGGTGACATGGCACCCTTCTAACACACATGGGCCTCTCGGGTCATGAGAGCTGACAGACCCCGCCTCATTCTCTCGAGTGACCACCCAGCAACCAGCAGAGGCCTCCTGCCCACAGCCAGCACCAACCTGCCAGCCCTGAGAGGGAGCCAAACCTTCAGACAGCAGCTCTGCCTGATCCAAAACCCCTGAGAACCGGAGCCAGAATCACCCAGCTAAGCCGCTCCCCCGCCACCCAGAGCTGTGTGGACAGTTGCTGCGCTTTACGGAAACAGGAGAGACCACCGGTCCTGGTGCACAAGCTTCAATTTAAAAGCATCACTGGAAGTGAGTTCCACCTGAACGCGTTTCCCATGTACTCATGGGAGGAGGAGGGCTGAGCCCAGTTCAGTGGTCACTGACAAGGCACAGCACAGAGGCACCAAGGGACCTGGCCAGCGACGGTCCCCCAAACCCAGAACAGTCCTGCCAACATCCTGTGACTGCCCTGACCCCAGGGGCTACGCGAAGATCGCGCGCCCGGTTACCAAGCGAAGGAGGTGTGAAGGCACGCCCACAGACTGTCGTCGTTGGTCAAGGACGTCAGTGAGCGGGCAGCGTTCCCGTTCCTCTGGTGCAGGAACGGCGTGAAGGCCGTGTTCATCCTCTGCGCGCGCTGTGGGCATCCAAACTGCTCCGCTTCAAACACCTGACAAGCAAAGGGGAAACGTGAGCCCTTCACAACGCCAGCCTGCAGCCCAGACCCAGCTGGCGTCCTGCTCCTGAAGACTGTCCCATCCTGCTTCTGGGCCAGGAGTAAAGAAGGACCAGCAGTGTCATTCCAGACGGAACAGCTCTGTCTCCCAGGGGATCAGCAGCCACGGGAGAAGGGGCGTCAGTGAAGAGTGACTGCTGGGCCCACAGTGACTCGCCCGGCACCTGGAGGGGCTCAGGCAGCCAGGAGTGCTGTTCCCCAGCATTTCCAGTCACCGCCAGGCTCTGCGCAGACCCTGCGTGGGTGGACGGGGGACCACCTCTGGCTGGGAGAGGAGAGAAAAGCCAGGCCTCTGGTCCCCTCCCCGCCCCACAGCCGGCAACGGAGCTACAGCGCAACGCGGCTGCCGCTCCGCCCGCCAGGATGACTCCAGCGAGCAGACCCCCGCCTGCCTGCAGTGGACACAAGAAACAAACTTCGCGCTTTCAAGCGGCTGAGGCTTGCAAGCCGTTTGTCGCCAGAGCACCAGCCGGCCATCCCGAGACGCAGGGCCGCCGGCGGGGGCCACGTTAGGTGTGGGTCTGCACCGCGATTAGCGGTCAGGCTTCCGACATGACGGTCACAAGCAAAGACAGCGCGGACGAAACCGGGCGTCTGACTGCGGGAAAGCCGGACAGCAGGCTCGAGAGGGACCAGGGGAGCCCGCAGGCCTGACCGACTTGCAGGCTCACCGCCGTGCCCCCCAGGCAGCCAGAGACGGCAGCACAGGCCCAGCCGAAGAGGTGCGCCGGCCTCCGGCCCCAAGCCCC